TTCCCTACTAGATCATTCTTCTCTACTTCTCCCACCTTAAAAAACACAGTAATTTTTTTAAACTAAAGAAACAAAAAAAACCTTTATCAATCTGACATGATCTTCTAACCAGCACCCTGTACTCTTTCCTTCCTGTTAAACTCCTGCCAACAGCAATCCACACTTGATGCCCCACAATCTTATTTCCAATTGACCTCTCGATTCACTGGTACTGGTTTCCGTCCCAATACACAATTAAAATAACTCTCATCAAGATCCCCAAAGATAACCTACAGCCAAATACAATGGACTCTACAAATCTTTCTTAATATCCTTGTTGAATGTGGCACTGCCAATTACTTCTTCTCATTCCTAATCTCTCTTCTTCCCTGACTTTCATAATATACTCTTCACTAGTTCTCCTTTTTCTTCCTGTTTTTTCATAGTCTCCTTCCCTGGGTCTCTTCAAATATATGGCTTTTAAACAGAGATAACTGTATAGGGTTCTAGTATTAAGCATCATTCCACCTAGACAATGCCTTTGGTGGTAAGTATATAGGTAAACAGAGATATAAGTGATTCCTAATTCAGAGCCAGACTGATCTTCTCAACTCCAAACCTTTAAATATCTAATTACATAATGACTTTCTACACTTGGTAATCCCATGGGCATCTTAATTTCAGCACATCAAAAAAGTGAATGTATTGGATGCCCAACTCCTAACAAAAAAATAGTCTTTTTAAAATAGTAGTAAAGGCTCTCTGCTGAGGAAGGATAAAAATGGAGGTGGACTTGTGTATTTAAATACAGTGAGAAAGTTGGAAATGACTGCTGTAGGAAAAGAGAAAATCAACAAGAGATAAACGTTTAAAAGCTGACAAAAATAAATGAGGTTACAGTTAGACAGTCTCAAACTTCTCATGGACCCAAGAGTATACAAAATTCTTCGAATTTCTCCAGCATTTCTTTTGAATCCAGAAATAAAATAAGTTCAGCATTATTTATCCTTCTGTAATTACAGAGCACAAGAATAGGCACAGGGTTACTATATGAAAGCCCAGAGCTTAACAACATAATAGGAAGATCCTATTCAGTCACTCTTTTGACATTCTCTTTAATCCATCTTCCTCAAAAAACCAATCAGAATAATCTCATTGTAATAAACATTTCTCCCCCATCAGTCAAAAGATTATGCTATAGAACCCTCATAACAAATCCTCCAATAAACACACACACTCATACATACATACACACACATCACACACATATACACAGAGAGAGCACATGAAGCATGCAAACACATCATTAATGCATGGATAAATGCTTTCAAGGTATGACGTATAGTAAATATTAGTATCCTCCTATGTACTACATGAAACGTTAAATGGAAGGCAATTTTCTTATTTATTCCATTGTGATGATTTTCAATGCCAACATTACTGTCATACATTCCTGGAAGCACCTTCTACCCTGAAGAACTTTTTATATTTAAATTGTGTGAAATTATCTCAGCTACTAAAGCTGGTTAAACTTCATATTACTTAATTAAGCCCATTATTTATTTCTCACTATGTAAGTAACTATCAAAGATAAGAACAATCCAAAAACACAGAAACACACTTTTTACCAAGAACTCCTTCCAGTTCGAGGCGAGGAAAAAACTTTAGAATCCTAAAGGGAACCTTTTTAGTTCCTGTGGCTGGGCCTGAGAATTAAACTAACATAAGATAGATTAACAGGAGAAAAGAACATGAATTTTATTTAATACTTTTATGTATACATAGGAGCCTTCACAGGAAAAAAGAAGATGCAAAGAAGTGGTTGGGACTGAGAGCTTATATACCTTTTTAACAAAGAATTTATGGAGAGATGACAA